ATTCTGTGTTTCCATTTCATAGTTGTAATCGCTTGTTTGGCTTTGTTTTTCCTGCATGGTAGAAGTCTCGTTTTCTTCTTTCCTACATTCAGATAGGTCAAAATGGACGAGTTACCAATGACAGTTGAAGTTATTTTTTGTCATTAAAGTAATTTCTGTCTGAACTCTGATTTTCATCTGTCTCTTTCAGGGTTTTCCTGACCGATACCATCAATTTTTCATTCTGGCCAGATGAGGGTGATAAGTATGACGTGACGTACAAGGGCACGAAGTATACTGGTTATTTTGCGGGTTGCGCTGCAGTTAATAAGGTTGGGCTATTGTATTCGAGGGAACTTCATTCACCGACTAAAGTTTTATATCAAGGCTCTTGACGCCGGAGCAAAATTAACGGATGCAGAATGGATGTCGAAAGCCACTAGGGAACAGTTGGATGAAATATTCAAGTCTGATGGCGGTAGGGGTGGTTCTGCTCTGATCAGTTTGTAGTAATTCTCTTATCTTGTCACATGTATGCGTTTTAGGATATTCTATTCCCTTGCTCGACGAACGCCTAAAAGCCATCAATGACGCAGGGAAAGTTTTACTTGAGGTGAGTATTATTCTCATACTGTGCGTCATCAGTGTGAATTTTTTAATTTTAGAAGTGGAATGGATCATTCTATAATTGCATCCTTGCGGCTAATAGAAGTGCCGAAAAGCTTTTGAACATCATTATCGAGAACTTTGAGTCTTTTAGAGATTTTGCAGAATTTCAAGGACAAAAAGGTGCGTTTTTGGTCCTGAATAATGTTTGTATTGTCGACCCTTTTTAGTTGCGTTCCTGAAAAGGGCACAAATTCTCGTAGCAGATATCTATGAAGCACTCAAGGATGATGATCCTGCTTGTAACTTTGCGGATATTGGGTGAGTCTGTCCTGCTTGCGTTTTGATCTCAGTGTTTTTATCTCAGAACGATCACGATTTTTGCGGACTATCGGGTGCCACAGGCTTTAGCTTACTTGGGAGTCCTGGAATATTCAAATGAACTTTTCGAAATTCTGTCAAAAAAGCAGCGGCTAGAAAGTGGAAGCCCAGTAGAAGTCGAGCTGAGAGGCGCAACGATTTGGGCATGCGAGGTAAATTTTCTCCATTGATTAATTCGGCATAACTTTTATCATCTGCATTTACAGAAGGTCG